GATAAATTGCTAATTAAAATGCTAACCCCTAAGGCACCAGTCCAGCTAGGAATGACCCTCTTGGTTTCATTACTCCCTCTAACAGCATCGGAGGCAGGACCTCTGCACTTGCATCCCTCCCCCCCAACTGCCGAAGTACCCCGAAGGGCCTCCATCCTCACAGCTAAGGAAGTAAAGCGGAAAATCTGGTGACTACTGAGGTCCTTTTAGAGGCCTGTAGTCCAGAAGACTCAGAAAAAGAAGGACATTTCAACATCTGGCATTTTAGAACACGGGCTGTCTCTTCCTTGAGTATGCCTATATCCCCTTTGTGTCTCCTGGGGGAAGGGGACAGTTGCCCCATTAGGGGCCTCTTCACCAAATCCCCTTCCCCTGCTGACTCTGAGATAACCGAGGGCTGCCCCATCCCTGCTACTCAGCTACACCAGTGCCATCCTGGACACCAGGTAAAAACTAAGGAAATATGGATAAAATATAGACTTTCTTTGGTTAATTATCTGTTCATTAATTGTAACACATGTAACATACTAAGATGTAGATGGGAAATTGGACATAAGGTAAAAGGGAACTCTAATATCACAATTTTTCTGTAAATCTAAAATAGGTTTATTTTTAAAACATGAAATACTGATGAGAATATGGAGAAACTGGATCCGCTTCATAATATTTGGCAGTTTCTTAAAAAACTAGACATGTATAACCATACCACCCAGCAACTGCACTTCTGGGCATTTATCTCAGGAATGAAAACTTTCTACACACACACACACACACACACAAATCTGCACACCAATGTTTATAGCAGCTTTTTTGTAACAGCCATTACCAAACAACAACCCAGACGTAACTTCAGTGGGTGAATGGTTAAATTACAGTACATTCTTACCATGAAATAACACTCAGCAATAAAAAGAATGAGTTATCAATATACTCAGCAGAAATAAATCTCCACAGAATTGTGGAGAGAAAAAGCCAGTTCCAAACGGTTACAAACTGATTGCACACATAACACTGAGAGAAGTATAAATGGAGAATGGATCAGCGGTTGTCAGAGGTTAAAGATGGGTGGGGGCAGGTGGAGGTGGGTATGGCCGGATCCTTGGGGCGGTGGAAACGTTCTATACCTTGACTCATCAGTGACCAAATCCTGGCTGTGACACTGTGCTACACTTTTGTAAGGTACTGCCATTGCAGGGATTGAGGAAAGAGTACATGGGATCTCGGTGTGATGTGTTACAACTGCGTGTGAATCTACAGTTATCTCAGAATAAAGTTTTTTTTTAAGTCATGAGGCCTGAACAAGCAGGAGGCCTAGAGGAAGGAGTCGGGAGGCCCCCATGGAGATCTGGAGTCAGGACCCAGATACAAGTGAGTGGGGGTCCTTCAGCCGGGGTGGGAGATGGGCCACACATGCAGGGTTGAGTCTGCGGAAAGTGAGGCCGGCCTGAATCTGAAGGTACTGGTGTGAACTTCCATTTCTTTATGTTAAAAACCACAAGGGTACACGTGTATACAGGGGTGTGCTGTCTACAGTCACTTCCCAGCTCTGTCCCGCTTAAAGGGCCTGGTGGCAGCAACACTCCTGAGCAACCACTTACTTCTCCACTGAAGAACCAGGGCTCCTTAGAAAAATGGTAGGTTCTGGGCTGGGGCAGAGACAGAACGAGTCTGAAACATCGCGTTGTGTGGTTAAAGGTGACAAGAACGTGTCAAGAGGGCATACCAGCCAGTTTAAAGGAGTGCCCGCTGACCTCCTCTGGGACAATTTGAACATGAAAATAAGTGACTATCAGGTACTAGAACCCACTGAACAAAATGCAAACTCACAAGCGCATACAGGTAAGTGAGTCCATGGATACATACGGGGAAGAGAAAGTGCTCCCTTACAACAGAAGCCAGCAGTTAAGTGGAGAAGGAATGATGGTAATAATAAGTCACCACGTGGCAACCACCACATCAAAAATAGGTTCAAGAAACGTGGAGAAGACAAGATTAGTAGCTAAAAGTCAGGTGAGAAATAAGAAATTTCTATCATCTCAAAGTAGCTCCCACAAAATATTTATTACAAAGGGGAGAAAAAAGGAACTTCAAGGAGGAGAAACCCAACAGACACCCTGTGAAAATGATCAAAGTTACCGCCACCAGCAACGGGACAAATCAGACGTCATGTGCCACCCAACAGGCTGCAGTGGTCATCACAGCACTCGGCCCAACATACATGCCCCAAACGGAGGGCTTTCTAACAGTCACTGGCCTGTGACCTTCAAAAACACCCAAGTCTTGAAGCCAAGGCAAGACCGAGGAAACGTTCCAGACTGAAGGAGACGAGAGTGATGACAAGTGGGTGTAACGCGTCATCCTGGATCGGATCCTTTACTATAGGAGACATCACTGGGTCACTCGCTGAAACTTGAAGCCCAGGGTACACAGGAATTCCTTGAATTATTTTTGTAAGTTAGAAATGGCTTCAAAATGAAATTATCTGTATTATATATACATATTTTTAACAGAAAAGGGCAGCTTTTGCTCTTTATTTTTCTACCTTCCTTCTGCCTCGAACACAAGCATGCTGGCAGGAGGTGAAGTCCCCAGATAAGGACAGAGAACCGGAAAACAGGAGCTGCAGGACGGCCCCACCAGCCCAGGCCCACCCACCTTGCCACTTCCTATTACGTGGTGGGAAATAAACCCCATGATGGTTCAAGTCACTATAGTAGGGTTTCTGTCACTCATAACCAAACAAAGTATAACCAACATACTTAATTAGGAAGAAGATTACTCACTTAGGTACCTTGGTTTTGAGAGAGAATGAACTTAGAAATAGAGGGAAGACTATTCCAGGTGGATACGGCAGAAGAGCTCAAGGTACATTCAGAAGATGCTGAGTGGACTGATTCTGCCACTGGGAAAAGATGGGCCATACAAAGCAATGATCACCTGACAGCATATCAGTCGTGATGCTCCGGCTACAAGAGAGGCTTCAAAGTGGCTTAAACAGAAAGACACTTCTATCCCACGTGAAGCAAAGTCTAGAATTCGAGCAGGTTCTAGCGTTGTTTCACCCAAGACACACAGCTGCACAGGGGAGGGGTTTTGTCAAGATCAAACTTCTGCCAAGAAGTCAAAATGGGGGTGTGGATGATCCTGGATGGGCAACCAACCATCACAAATGGTCACTGTTTACTGAGTGTTGAGCACAACCCACGTATTTCACCTTTAAAAACAAATCCGAGAGAGATTACAGAGGAAAGACCAGAAGAGGCTCCTCACCTGACAGCCAAATCCAGAACTAGATTCAGAAATGCAGCAACAGATCTCCCTCCTTGTGCCTGTTTACCAAAAAATACACATGGGTCCTAAAGGGGATCAGACCCCAACAGCTGCTCAAAGTCTGTTCCATCAGCAAAGACCTTCATTCTGAGGATCCCTGGGGGCCTGTGTTCATTAAAGCAAAACTGCACCAGGACGGTCCCCAACATGCCAGTGCAAGGGAGTGAATGACTGAATGCAAAGAGACTGGCCAGGCCATTTCTCATACAGGATGGCCCAGAAGAGACAGTGCATTGGTGTCCACCTCCCACGTGCTCCTGTTTGGTGAGGTCCTAGCACAGTCCGCTCTGGCCAGGCTCCGTACCGAAGCAAGACTCCTACTCCACGAGGGTACATCTCATTCTCACACTGAAAAGATCTGTAACCCAGGTTAGCGGAGTCTGCCGACTGCAGTGTCACTCTACAAAGTGCATCTTCAACATAAGGTCATTTTATTTGTTTAAAAACTGTTTCTCGAGGACCTTCTACGTGCTACACATGTTCTAGGCCCTGGGGATTCAGCAATGAACAAGCCAGCTGCTGCTCTCAGGGACGAGAATCTAGTTAAGGGAGGCAAGCCAACAGAAGCGCCAGGCATTGATAAGCACAAAGAGAAAAATAAAACAAGGGAATGCACTGAGTGGGTGGCAAAGAAGGCGTCTGAGGACCTGCTGAGAAGCCACAGGCGCAAAGCCCCGGGAGAGAACACGGACCCAGCAGGACCAGGGCAAAGGCACTAAGGTGGCAAGAAGCCTGCAGCGTTCAGTGAACAAGCAAGGAGGCGGCCAGCGGGGATGGAACCAGCAAGTGAGGGAGGCGGGGACGCTAGCGGGTCCCAGCAAGCGGGGGCCAGATTCCGCAGGGCCTTATAGGCTCAGCAGGGTTTAGGTACCAAAAGCAAAGAGAAGCAGCTGGATGGTTTTAGGCAAAGGAGTCACAGAATGACCGGGCTAGTGCATGGAGAACAGACTGGAAGGAGACAAGGGAAGAAGCAGGGAGCCAGTTAGCGGACTGCTGCCACTACCCAGGCCAGAGACCCAGTGGGCTGGAGAGGTCAGGGGTGCAGTGGTGAGAAGTGAGGGTCTGGGTCCTGTTTGGAAGTCGAGTTAACCAGACCTGCAGACGAACTGGATGTTGAGGGGAGGATGCCTGGTTCTGGGGCCTCAGGACTAAATCCCGGAGGATTAGCTGGATCAAGCCACTTCCTGGAACGAGACCGCGTGGGGAGAAACAGGAATAGCAACAACTTTGCTCCTAAGTATCTTCCATTCTGAGGGAGTGGCTTTTGGAAACGTACATTCACACCTTCAGGATGAACCATTTCACCTCCATAGATGGTCAGGAAAAAATATGCAAGAGACTTATTTGTTATTTTTAAAACATACAGATTGTGACTCGGAGATGGACACTTTCACACAATCTTAGACACAGAAGACACCCAAGACATCTGGTCCTACTCCCTTCGTCCATCAAATGAGGAAACTGAGGCCCAGAGCGATGCAATGACTTGCCCAAGTTAGAGAGCCTCGTGTAAGTGTCACTAGTTAGTGTCAGTGTCACAGGAGCCATTACTCCAAGTGAAGAGGTCCACGCTTCCTCCACTGCACCACACTCAGCCTCTGGGCTACTTATCACATGGAGTAAATCAACGCACACTGCAGGCTGTGACACCAGAATACACCAACAGACCAGAAACTAGAAAAACAGGTGTAACCAGTGACATGGAACTTCAATCCTTTAGATGCAGACAAGCTACTGAGTCTCCAGGAAAACACACACACACACAGAGCAAGTATGCAGGAGGATGGTACTCCCTCACCCCCATCAGCCCATCTTTCCTAATAAGGGACACCCCCATGATGCCATGTGCCGTAACCCTTGACTTCAGGGCCTGAAACCCTGCCTGCCAGGCCTGCCTCGCAGAGTAAGTCTGAGCAAGTCACTTAACAGTTCAGCGTCTCAAGCTCCTTCTTTATCTTCCTTACCTCTGAGGGCTCTAGTGAGCAAGAGCAATGACAACTCTATGGGAGCACAACTTGGAAAGCATCAAGTGTATATAAAAATATAATATATTGCTGTTAAGAATAAAGAGCTGATAACTTTTGATGGGGAAAGCAGAGGCCAACACACTGAGGAGGACAGTGCCACTGTCACTTAGTCCCCTTCCAAGGACATCTGTTTGCTTCACACCTCAAAGCCGCCTCTCCCTCACAACATGGCCAAAATTAGGGGACTGAGGCAAAGGAGTGATATATTTTTAGACACAGATATATATGTGTGAAATGGAAGAAGTCTTACTTTTCTTTCATTTGATTATACAAATGCCTCACATAGAGTGCGAGCGATCTGCCTGATGCAGACGTGCTGTGGCATCAGAAGCCACCTGACCTCAGGCAGCAGGCCCTGTTCCTAGAGAAACACACCCCGTGCCAGGGCTCTTATCAAGTGACAAGCAGAGTGATGGCCGGGGTTGTCAGGAGGCAGCCAGCCACGCCAGGACATCAGCACATCCTGGATCTCTCACTGATGGGACACTTTATCTAGAGCCAAAATCATCAGCTTCCAGGGCATTACAGGGAACCGATGTCAAAATAAGGCAAACCAGGTCCCAGCCAGCCTCTCAGGGTATTTGACCCCACTTCACTGTAGCTGCCTTTCTTGGAGGACTGGCTGCAAGGGGGTCCTCGGAACACCAGCCCAGCGCATGGCAGAGGCCACACTGCGCCCACTTGCCCGGACTTCCCCACTCCCCCACCTCGATCGCCTTCCTCTCTCTAATCCCCTTCCATCGTTCTCACCCTTCTCTCATCTGCATCCAAACTCACAACCTACACATGGTTTCCTCCTTAAAAAAAAAAAGAAAAAGAAGTAACAGGTAGTGCTCTCACATTGCCTTTCCACCTCCCACCACTAAGTAACCACCACCAAAACATGGAACTAAAGCACATTTTAAACTGGTTTGTACTGAATTGATAAAGCTTTGTCATTCCCGTTCTTCGAAATTCAAGTGAGTTGGAAACCTACTGCAACATGCCCAGTGTTGATCACCATGCTCCTCAGAAGAACTCAGAGGGAACACGCGAACGCCACGTGGCAGGCCCTCACTATTCCAGGGTTCTATCTCCTCTTCTCTGGCCTGTACACCCTGGGCCCCACAACTGTCCCTCATGTGATAGTTTCTAGGTACTTCTCCTTTCCAGGCATCTACCTCTAGCTCTATTTATCGAGATCCCTTAAAAATAGGTCATCAACCTCAGAATGGAGTGGAGTGGAGCCACACTGGGGGCTGAGGGAGCTGGATTCTAAAGTCATTAGCAGAACAAAAACCATGCAATACCAAAATGACTCCTGAAAGTCCCTGACACTGTCCGTCACAGGGAGATGCTTCAAGAAAGAGGCTCACTTCACTTCAGAGCCTCTTCTAGAGGCTCTGAGCTGCCAAAGGAAACAGATTCCCCCCTTATCACCCTCCCCGCAAGGCGCAGCCTCACCAAGCAGGGTGATCACTCACACAACTGACTTTTTCTTGTCTTTCAGCTGGTTTGTTTCTTGGGGATGGCTTGCTTTTGCCCGGCCCATATGCTGCACACTGACATGTAAGTGCATCCGGGAGCCAGACTCACCCAAGCTGGAGGACGGTGCCACCGTCACTTAGTCCCCTTCAAAGGACATCTGTTCGCTTCACACCTTCAAGTTCATCCTCCCCTCAACCTCTCACCCTCAGCCCAGGCCAATACTTCACGATGGCCAACCAAGAGCCACCACTGGGCACAGTTCTCGCAAAGAACTTGGTAAAACTTCCATTTTGAAGACTCACTACTGTAAGTCATTGTCTTGATAAGAGGTTGTAAAGAGGTTAATGTGATAGCAATCTCGCTGCAGTACATAAAATCAATAGCCTCTTCTAAAGGCTGCAACAATTTACGCAACTACAATTTTTTGCCTAGAAGACAATCATGCACTCTTATGATCATCATTTATCATCCCAGCTGAAAAAGCTGTTGGCACAGTTTTCTCGCCTGTATTTCTGGTTATGTCTGAAGTCACCTTAAGTCATATTAGTGCACCAGCAGCAGACAAACCGTAGTTACCACTTATGAACACAGAAAGTGCTATGTTAT